CCCCGTGCCCGACCCATCACGAAAAACTGTGTGCTTGTGCACGAGATGTGGCGGGTCTACGCCCACGAGCGCGCATTAATTTGTAAAAGGGTACTGTCGTCGGCAATATAAACTTCTCGAGAATTATTTTTCTCTTTTTTTTTTTTTTTAACAGGAATCTCTAATTTTTTATCGTATTGTTTATTTTCTGCCAGCATGATGAATCTTGTTTTTGCATACAAAAGAGGAAATTCAATGATACATATATGTTTTTATAAATCTTGGAGTTAGCTTCATTTAACCTGCTGGAAAGATGTTAAAAGAAATTTAGAAATGCAAATATTTGTAATGATTCAAGTATATGATCAATAATATTCTCTTTTATAAATCTAATATAATCGAGAAAATTTTTATTTTTAATGATCTTATCGCTTACCTTGTACGTACCTGAATTAAATCCTGAGTCAAATAAATATATTGATTTCGATTCGAGAACCATTTCCTTTTTCTTATACAAAACCTTGATTTTATGTTCGTTTCTCAAAAATAAAGATTCCATATCTAAAAATAAATAAATAAAAAAAAAAGAGAGATTTCAATATAATAGGTGATGATTTATAGATGTACGATTATTTCATAAAATACGCTCACGTTAAAAAGTAAACGTAGATGCACGCGTAATCAGCTTTTACGATACACGAGATTCTTTTTGCATAGAGAAGATGGTGAAGCTGCAATATAATGGATCCCTCGGCTAATACCAGGATCGATAGATCGTACAACGGTCACGCTCCAAGTCGGGACAGTTTCCTGGTGAGGTTCATTTGACGTAAATTACTCGTATTCGTTGTGATTGACCAATTTTGTGTGGCGTAATAATAGCGACGAAACAACGTCCTGCTCGTGAAACCTCTTTTCGATGCTTCGACTTATCCCTCTTTGATTGCGAATTAAAAAAAAAAAAAAATCGAAATTAATAGATAGAAGAGATAGTGCTTCGACTATGCATCGTTCATCGTCTAACTCGCGATAAAGTAAACGAGATAATGATCCGTTGTGTAATACGAGATAATTTCGGAACGAATTTAATTTTATAAAATTATAATATTGTTTTTAATTTTTTCTAGCTAGTTTAATAAATATTCACTAAGTCCAGGTTGTGAGATTGTTTGTACAGTTTTCGTCGAGAAAAAAAATTAAAGAAGAATAGTTATATAAAATAAAATTTGATGATGAAATGATTCGTTCGGTGAATTTAATTGATATCTAAATAAAAATATATATATTTATAAACGTAAATATAAAAGAATAAATGAAAAAAAATAATAAAGTTTGAAATAAAAAATATAATTGAATTACGTATAAGAATATAGAGATAATGATTTCTGTTAGAAAATACACGTTATAAATCGATAATAAACGAATAATTATTTTTGCACGAACATATTATATATTGTTTACACATTTATATACGAGTAGGGAAAACAACGTACCTCCAATACTTTTTCACTTAATTTGATGTTTCTTTCTTCTGTAACCTAACCTAACAACGATATGATTTTCAATAACGACAAATTCTTTTCTTTCTCTCTCTCTCTCTTTGGTTCGAATAATTTTATTTAACCAATCATTTCATCTAGCTTGAAATCAAGCTACCGTGATTTATGACATCTAAGTTGAACATCGAAGTCTTCAACTATGAGTGGTGCAAGCGAGGATGAAAAAAAAAAAAAACACAAATAAATCGCGCCGCTACGTTGTAACTGTGTATCCAGCGAAAGATACACAGGAAGCCACGCATCCAATCTTCAAAAGAAATCCCATTTTTCCGAATGTTTGCGTAATGGATGTATGCAAATGCAATCAACTCGCCATACATCGAGATCCAATCCTCTCGATGTTTGTCACGCTTGCGCACACATCGATCCATAATGGCGAGGAACGATCGTTCTGTCGGCCGGCTCCACCGATAATAAATTTATTGCGGCCGTTGAAGGGCACGAATTGATTATTAGTTGACCACGGCACAGTTACAGTTCGACAAGGCTGATTTTCAACGTAATGATTCGTGATTCGATGCGTATACATCCACTTCGAGCACACCTTCCTGTTACACGTTCGAGAATCGATCAACGTTAATTGGATTTGAAACGTGAAGTCGGTGTTTATTCACGAAATTAATACTAACTTCACACGTTGGACCAGTGAATGTACTAAACCAATGTATATAAACATTGTACTTTGTTGCATTAGACTGTGCATATCAATATTGATTTTGCCGTCGATTTTTGTTCTTTGTCAAAGGATTTGTCGAATCAATAGTAATAAAAGTATCTTAATAATTAGTAATAAAATAAATATAATTATAAAGTATAATATAAAGTATAATTAGTAATTAAACTTGGTAAATAAATATAACAGATGTTCGTATATCGTTTCGATTATATATTCGCAAATTATCAATGGATATCATGTGTTAGATTTTTTGATGATAATCTGATATATTAGCTGGCCATATTGTAGAAAGATAACTAAAAAAAAATTTTGTTTTTTGTGTGAAAAAAAGATATAATATAGAAAAAACTGAATAACTGGATTAATAAATAAATAAGACAAAGATAAACTTTACCGACTCTCGAGAGTTCGATTTTCCAGATGATTTAAGGATCCAATTCCTTACGGGGTTCGTTCAAACATGACCCCCGTAACAGGCGGAGATTTATGGCAAAACCAAGGCCCCTAATTAGAATCACACCGAGGTGTCCTAATTACAGGTTTAGCCACAGAGTTTTTGAGTTGCGCCAAAGGCGCAAAACGATGCAGGCCCTGCCAATTTCTGCCCTTTTTTCCACCAACAGCTCGTTAATCGTAGGAAAAATAGACGATCGTGGGCGTTGGCTACTTTTTCGAATTTACATCTGACCAAGTATCGTGCTACGTAATATCTGATACCATAAATGAATTCTTTGTTTCTCTTTATATTAAATTTACGAGATGAAAGTGATCACGAAGAAGTAATTTATAGGAATACCTCGTGCCATGATTAATAATAAATAATTTTTGAGAATTGAGATTTATTATTGTATGATTGAAATTTTCTTAGAAATTTATTTGTAACATCGATAAGTCGCGATAAAATTTGTCGATTATTAGTTGAAGTAATTATACGTACAATATTGAACAGATTTAAACAGATATATCGCGTATGAACTTTTAAAGCTGACCCAGTGAAAGCATAATTTCCATGGTAATTATTAATTTCACGGTTGATGGATAAATTGCAACAATGATAAATTTAGTCGCAACGAGGTCGGCTTGTTTAATGCTTCATGCAGGGAGAAGACATCCATTAATTTCTACATAACGGTTCGTATCAATGATTGGAGTTTGAAAAAGTCAGGCGAGAGTAGACGATACTACCGTTTCACCATTATCCCGATGAATACGACCTGCGATTCAATCTTAAAATTATAATCGAAAAGAAAAAGCAAAACTTTCATTTCTATATCAATTTAAATAAAAAAAGAAAAAAACTGATCAAACATCAACATTGATCAAAATTTGAAAAAAAAGGTACAATTTGTCGATAAAAAGCGTAGAACTCGTTTGAAAGGTATAACTCAGAGATATGATAATTCTTCTCGAATTCATTATGGCATCGTTTACAGTCGTAAAAATAATGATGAAACACGATGATGCTTAGAGTATACCGTTTCATTAGCATCAACGCGGATAGTCTTTCATGCGTATATTGTACAGTTACTTTTTAGTCGTTCCAGATAACTGCAATATTAATTAAAAACGGTAATAATTTGGTAATTGCCCAATAAAATTCGAAGATTCATGTACTCTTTGTTTATTTCTTAGGACGTTTATAACCTACAATTAGTAAATATAACGTAATTTCTCAGTTGCATTGAAAACAGGTTAGAACGTAGGTAAAGAAGAATTGCGTAATGTTCTAAAATGTCGTATCCCCACTTTTATTTAACAAATATTGAATATGGTACCTTCCAGTGTATATATATATATATTAATTAACAATGCCAAAAGTAATGAGAATAATAATTGCTAATACGATGTAATGTTTACCATATGATTATAATACATTTATAGATAAAAAGTAAAATTTCTATCGATTATGTAATATAAGAAAGCGAAAGAAACTAGAATACTTTCGTGATATTCAGAGACATCAACGAAAAAAATAAAAATTATTCTTTATGCAAACTTTTCAATTTCAAATAGAAATCTGTATTTATCACTCGAATGTTATTGCACATTTTATTGTACGTATATACGCGTTTCCTTCACAAATTCTACCCTGAAACGATTACTTTTCCTTCCACAACGCTTTCTTCGTAACAAGACCTCGTTGGAGGAAATCTTCTCGACATGATTGTCTGTAAAGATACTCGGGGTCTCATCGACTTCAGAATACCCTAGCTAACGATTTTCCGGCTCCCGCGAAGCTTCGTCATGCTTGCAAACTATCCTTGACGCAGTTACGTATGGAGATGCTGATACAAGTATAAATCGTGGACAAGTGTGATTTCCTCTTCGATACGTGAACAAATTCGTGCGTGTTATGACTATTTGAATTTTTATGAAAGATGTACTGTCATAATAATGGTTAATTAATCGATAATCGCGATAAATTTTCATCAACGATGAATGAATTTGAATAAACTACGAAGAATAGGTTAGGATTCACTTGAAAATAAATAATTAGCCCTATTGCATACGCGTGTTGCGTATTGATAGTAATTATAAATAAACGATTCAGCAATGATTGCAATAAACATTTGCAATGTGTGTTTAACGAATACATACGTGTCTGAACTATTTAATAAATCAAAGAAATGTTGTAAGTTAAATCTACGTGTGAATCAACGAATGAACAATTAGCATTGATATTGTATGAAATATGAATGAAGTAAACAAATAAAATTAATTATACTGAATTAAATGTTTCATTATGGAAATATTTTTATAAACAACAACAATGCATGTTCTCTTTCTAAAAGAAGTATATAGAACAGAAACTAGATTTCACGAAAACGAAAACAGGCAGTTTCGAAGAGTGAATTAGATTTCAAAGGATTGTTAACATTCACAGCGATCCGTAAGTATCCTCGCGCTTTCTTTTCATATAAACATGGATAATTAACCGAGCATAGGCAATTTTTTCACCTGGTCGAAGTGAAATTCAACTGGACGTAATCTGTTTGGAAAGAGTTACGTATCCGGGTATCGAAGCAACGATATCTCCTCGACGTATCAATATCTCTTCGAAATTGTACAAGGCGGATGATCTATTCGCAGTCTACTCGTCTTCAAAGAGACAAATCGTCATTCGCTTGAAGCCTCTTGGACGATGATACGGGAGAAATGACGAGAGATAAGTGAAACCAAAGTTCAAACGTTCACGGACGACTTTCCCCGTAATGTTTTCGACACGAACAGGATTCCGTGGTTGAAACGTTAAGTTAGAAAAGATGTGTACTATCATTGTATATATAACTATCATTTAATTATTGCAGAAGTTAGTATAAGGATATATGTATGAGTGTATATCCATGATAAGTGGTGAGAGATGAAAGGATATGTGGAAAACGAATTCAGTGTATATTTCGATTTATGTGTTAAGAATAAAACAAAAGAATATTAATAGTTTACAATGCTCGATCAAAGATTTGAGATTGAGATTTGTGTATCGAATACAACGAAAAAAGAAAAAAAATAGAAAAATATATATTTGTATACGAATCTGCAATATACCGTTGATATAACCTAAAACTTTTGAATTGTCGAGAGGACAAGGAAAAGGAAAAACAGATGATTTTTCGTATGTATCTTGAAATTTATTTATCTCTAAATATTTGAAACATTAATCTAAAAAAAATGTATTATAATTATATCATTTAATTATTGCATTAAGTTATAGTATAAGATATATTATAGTATAAAATATGAGTGGTGTGAGATGGAAGAAGGATATGTGAAAGAACAAATTTAGTGTATATTTCAGTTAACAATAAAACAAAAGAATATTGATAGTTTACAATGTGAAATATACAACGAAAGAAGAATAGAAAAATATATATATTTGTACACGAATTTGTCTACCAATGACATAACCTAAAACTTTTGAATTGTTGAAAGAGGAAAAGCGAAAATATTCTTGATGGATATGATTTCTCTGTACGTACGCGGATTCATACTCAGCATATTCGAGAGATCTATCGGTTCGATCAACACGAAAGTACGGCATAATCGTTCGTGTATCATTTCTAAATGTTTTTCAGAGATAAATCGAGGACAAGGAGAAAGGGGGAAATAAGGAAGAGAGACGGATTAATAGGAGAATCATAGGAGCAATGACGTTATCCTGGGATAACGGGTGACCAGGTGCATCGGGCACATCGCCACCTAGGAAGTGGATACGAGGTCTGACGGTTACCTCGTCATCTTGACCATTCTGCAGGATACGATGAGGCCTTCAGGCAACACGCTACTTTCTTTAATTTATATCCCTCCGTGATTATTACCATGATCAAGCCTCGAAACGACGGATGCCCGTTTTTCTTTCGCTATTACTACTCGTCACTGATTCGTCATCCTCATGTCTGACAATGTTACAGGTATAATATCGTACCATGGAAATATCGTGGATAATCAGCTTTTAACACGTTGAACACCGCACGAGAATCAAGGATTTTGCTACAGATCCATTTGTGATTTGTTATTTAGGAGAATGAAGGATCCTTTATAAAATTTTTCCTTTACATTGCTTAGAGTTAATAATTATCGAGTCGATGAATCTTTATTCTTTATCGTTTCAAATTTAAGGAATTATTCTTAATTTGCACTAAAAATCAAAAAAATAAATAATAAAGTACATTTTTTTTTATTTCGTATTCTATCTTTCCAAGAATACGATATTTTGAAAATGACTAATATACATAATAATATACACAAATCAGAAACACGTGTCATATTTAATATTTAACATTATAGTATTTAAAGGTAATAAATATTAATTAAGACACGGAAGTAATAATTTTATACACTTTTCAATTGGCCAAAAATTAAAACGTGAAATTAACATCTCTTAGGATCTCTTACGATTATATTAATTCAACGTCAAATTGGTATAAAATTTGCGAAATGTGCGTGCATAGATAAATAGCGTATAACGTAAGAAGCGTGCCGGATCGAGGGTAATTTAAAGTTCGTATAAGTAACATAATTGCAGGCAAGGTGTGCTTAACGACGTGTGAAGATGACAGACAGATTAATTAGAGCGATCGATGATTGATAAATAAAAATAATTTGGTTATCAATTGCTAATTTTATCCTTAACTAATTTTTATAATGAATATTGTAAAATTCGTCATTTATCGATTATTCTTTTCATAATGATTAAAAATGGCATAATGATGGCAAAAAAACTGATCCAGAAAATTTTACTTTTTATGGATTAATGTTATATATTTGTAAAAAATAGTTCACTGTAACCAAATTGTTAAATGATTTACCGTTCTACTAGTTTTAATATATTATATATATATATTATATATATATAGAATATTAATATATTCATGAAAGATTAATTCTAGATATCAAAATAAATAAAAATATATTAATTGAGGCTTTTATTTATTGAGATTATTTATTTAGTAAGTAAGAATGCTTTCGTCTTGCATATTTCAATTGCACATTTCAATTTAATAAATAAATAAGCCTTAATACGATATATTTCGTATATTAATTTTTTTGGTCTTGATTTTTTAAAAATATTATCATTTTATCTCGAGCAATAATAATCTAATAAAGCAATAATAAATTTTAATGATAGATTGAGAATATTACAAAATATAATTATTATTTTTATCTTTTGATAGAAGTATGGTAATATAATAAGGAGAATAAGAAGAGATTGTGGATCATTGATCGCGTGATCGTGTTACCGAAAATTGATTGGTGATGAAGCGTGACAGTATTCACGGGGTGAGTCAGACCAATTTATAACTCGTTAGTCAGGGCTATATATTAAATCGAAATTGATCTGTCTTTCGTGCAGGTTAAACAATCAACCGAAAACAAAATTGGGTTTTATTCGTTTTATTATTATATTTAGTCAAATAGAATAAAAATTATTCCATTTAAAAAGTATGTTTGCGAAAACGAATTACGTCACGGTTGGAAGAGAATTCGTTTTGGCGGGAGATTTTGTAGATTAGTTGCAAATGGCAGCCGTCTTGAGCGTAACGGTCGAAATGCATCGGGCTCATTGGAATTCACGTGTTTACAGTGCAATATTTCTATCGACAGTATTCTCTTTTGGCTTGTTTGCACGGATCGTTACCCATGAGTACACAATGGTTACGTGATAGTCGTACATCAAATTGTTCGAATTAAATCGTGTTTCTCGGTTGCATGCCGTATAGAAGTCAAATGTCGCTTTTAGCACCTTGTTACTTTTAAATGACTAACATAACCTAATTTTTTTTGTTCTTTTTAATACTTTCATTATTATTTGTTATTGAAAGTAACTTCAGTTTAAATTTTCTCATTAAAAATAAACGATTTTTCATTAAACGTCATTAATTTCAAACTTTACACTCGAAAGAAACAATACCGTTACACGAGATTAGCCGTTCTATGAGCTCATCTGTTGATTCGTTTGTAATCATACTTGTGTACTTTAGTCGTAAGATATTTTTGTAGAACAATCATGCACTTGTGCTCATTTCACGTTAATATTCGCTTTATATTCAGCCTTTTGATCTCACTTACCGTTAGAATGGCTTAAAAATATGATCGTTCTCCTTTCTGTATAGATTTTCAATTATTATCCTATTAATTATGATTTATTACTAAATTATAGCATCAATGTCAAAGTTTTTATAATTATAATTCCTTATATATATATCATATCGAATGAAATTACTTTGAATAGACGTCAGAAATTTCACTGAAAAGATTATTCGTGTATTTCAAATAATTATTTTTTTAGAAATTTATAAATATTTAAACCAATCTTAAAAGTAATTCAGATAAAAGAATATACTTTTTTTATAAAAATTCAAGAAGATAAATTCATATAAATATGATTCGATTTCTATATTGAATTTTCCAACTTAACCTCTAATTTTTTTTATAGCAGAAATTTAATTATTAAATATTTAAAAAATAAATTTTTATAAAGTTATAAAATAATATAAATATACGAATTGCGTTATATGAAAAAAATAATATTGGAATTATTAGTAATTATGCGCAGAAATCAATTGCGCAATCAATATTTGAGATAAAATATTCCGATAGGTGACTCTAAATATCAATATTTTAATAATAAAATACATTTTTAAATTTAAATATAAATTGTTATGCGAATTAAATATGAAATATATACGTTTGAAATTTAATATTGAATGTATCAGTATGTAAAAAAGAAGTAAAAAAATCAATTTATATTCTTACATCAGTATTGTTTTTATGTAAGCGTTTGCATTTACAAAATGTTAGAGAGGAGTGTGAAGAATGTAAATTGCGTATCTTGTAACGATAGCTTGATAGCGATGAAAATACGGAAGACGGAACGAAACAGTGGATGATACTTAAGATAATCATACAGTTATTATCTTCCCGTTACCAGCGATAAATCCTAAATGAAGAACAACGGATATGTAATTTCAAAAAGTCATGATATGTTAATTATTTGTCATCAAATGTAATTTTGTTTAATAATACCAAACAAAGACATAACAAACAGTATTTCTAACATAATGTATGAGTTCATATATCGATAAATATATCAAATACTCGATAAATTTCTGATCTTTAAATTTTTTAAAAATTTTAAAATTATTATTTTATCAATTATTTCAAGTCTTATCTTTCTCGTGAAACATGAGCATTTCTATATTACACGGATATGTAAATATTTACCTTTACAAGCGGTGATCACTGTCTTACATCCAAGCTGTTCGAATCAAACAGACAATGTTCGAGCTCGAATGAAAAGGAGAAAGGGAAAGAGAGGAAGAAGAGGTTTCCGTGGTCGCGTGCCGTCGTGCTCCGCTGGGCCCAACGATCCTCTCGCACATGACGCACTGGAATAGGACATTACGAGATAGT